TTTGTGTGGAAGAAATACATCAGAGGTGACATGGAATATAGTATAATCGAAGTATAGAAGGATTCCAGATCTGTAACACGCGTTGCATCGAGCAATGAAGGACGAATTGATGAAAGGGATCGAACTAGCAGTTAGGGTTTTCTGGTTTGACAAATGAAGATGGAGCATGGATCGAAGATCCGAATCCTGGTATAATTAATGGATCACCCTGTTTAGAATCTGTATGACGATCAGAAGTACAAAGAATAGTTATTAAACATTTGCCTTTTGGTGTTTCCGTGACAGGAATTGCCCGAGGGTTTAAATAGAGATCACGGAGAGATCATGGAGAATCCGAAATTGTAGGGTCTATTACAGAAATTATTAAAGCAGCGATAACGAGCCTAAATACCTGCATTTCGCGCGAATGGGGGCAGCAGTGCGAAGAGATGAATATTTAGACGAGTACCAACGCCGATGGTCGATGTCCACGATGCATTTCCACGCATCCGGATAAACGACTGCGATATGGATATCTGCTGAAACATCACGCGAACGTATGTCGCGTCGTGCATCTGCAGCTCCTAATTTCATTGAACGGATTCGAACGCTTGCAGCGATTTAAATGTGTTAAGCCTGAGCTAAAACAGAGACCAGTATCACGGAGTATAAACGGAGTAACTTTGCGTTAAAATATTAAAAATATATCTCTGATAAAGAAAGATGAAGGAATCACCCGTTTCTTTCCAGGAATCATCGCAGATGGAGAATTCAACGCACACTTTTCGGGTTTTAAACACCAAGATGAAAATGGATTCAATGTTATTACACTGCTCGCGAGTTAGGTCTCAGGAAGCGATGGATGCATGAATCCATCTCAAATTATTTATACTTCTTATTTATTTGTTTCATTTCGTCGTTTTCTAATTCAAATTTACGAATATATCTTAGTTTTCGCGAAAATTACAATTTAGATATGAAATGATAACAAAATTTTACGCATCCCGGATATAGTCGTCGTGACGCAAAACTCTGCCATTTCTTCATGACGAATAAAGTTGTCAAACACTTAACTGGTGAAAAGGACGTACGGAGAATTTTGAATTTCGATAGAAACGGCTACTTGCGAAACGATAACGTGCTCTGTCGTTGATTAGCGATTAATTATTAGGAAAAAACTACGATAAAATAAATTATGATAAATTATGATAAAAAGGGTAATTACGATAAAAGAATTCTAGATTCTTTACATTCCATCGAGTAAGCATCTGGAACTAAATCGAGCACTCTATAAGAACAATCCACGTAAATTCGACGAAACGTTTAAACCTATTAAATGAAAGTTCCAACTGATTCGTGACTTTTTAGACAAAGATACCTACGTACCTCGATCAAACTAGTGTTACGAGATTATCACTGATAAAGCGTAGACAGAAAATGAATAGGATTGGTGTCTCGGTAAGTAGATTCAAGCAGGAGATATTGTGCAATAATTTATTATCGCATTAAACAGTGCAATAATTTAGCTAAAACGTCTAATCTACGCGACGAATCGGTCGTTTTAAACGCTAGATTGTCCACTAGGCTGGGATTAGAAATTCTCGAAATTACTGTGCACGATGAAAAGAAGACTAAACTCCGAGTATACCAAGTATCAAAAATTCGCCAAATATTTCTAATATTTCTAGATTCTCAACTTTGTCGCTTTTGAATTAAAATTCGAGTTAAATCCGTGCCCATCTTCGACGTGTTTCATCGTTTACGAAACATTGCTCCGAGGTCGATCCCGTGCAGGGTTCTCGAAGCTATCGAGAGTTTCCTTCGCCTCGGAATGGCAAACGGTACGACACGGTGATAAACGCTGAAATGCTAGGTCTCAATCTCAGAACCATGGCTGTCGTACACAATAGTTATGCACGTCGCAGATAATACCCGACTATCCTCGTTTATTTATACTCTCGCTCGCACACGCGGTCAAACGTGTGTAGGAAACACCACACCGAGGATACAGATATTCGTACACGGACAACACGTGATTGTACATAAGTCGTTTCGTTCCTCGCATCTCAACTTCACAGCTGCACTAAACGGATTTTTAGCAACCGGTCTCTCGTTCAACGCTACCTTCTGAACCTCGAGAGCCGTTTTTGTCAGCCACCATTCGTCTCGCTTATGGTTCACTCGAGAAAGCCTAGCGCGTATTGACGTTTACATCCGTGACATGTCGCGTTCTCGTGAACGCTGCTAATAAATCTTTCGAATATTTCGCGTTGAAATATGCTTCTCGCTCTGTCCTTATAACTACCTTGCGTTACGCGTAACGATGGTTTATCGCGATAAACTAGGCGAATACTTTCTACCACTTATAGGAACTTACACGTCTGTCAATGTTATTACAGCAAATTATTGTCGAGAAAAATATTTCTTTCCAGTCCTTTGGAAATTACGAATCAAAGTTCTACGTTGAAATTAATCACGCTATTTCAAGCCATTTCAGGGCCGAATTCCCCTTTATGGGGAATTCTTTTCAAGATAATTGTTGGAGCTTTTGACAGGAGATTTTTGGAAGAAAGAAGATCGTAAGAATTACATGGTGATAACCACGAACCGATTTTTAAATATGCCCCGCGATGGTTGACACGATTCCAGCAGTACTGTTTATCCTGAAAGAATAAATGACAAAGCATTTTGTTCGGTAAGAGGGTGGTTAAACTCCAAACAAGAAAGAATCGAATAACTCGAAATTTAAGGAAATAACGAAATTTTAATCTAGCGTATAAGCTAACGTTCCTATAGATAGAGATATTCCTGTTTAAAAATATTTAATTCGTATTCGAAAATATTTACAGCTTCTGTTTGCAGAATTCTTCTCAATCGACAAGCTGCATCGTGCACAAAATAATCTACGTGATTTTGAAGAAAAAGAAAAGCTTCCGAGAGTTCGTCAAACGCTAATAACCTCGACGCGTCTCTGTTCCTCTATACTCGAATTTTATCAGTCCCAAAACTGTTTACAGCAAACACGCGTGTCTCGAATTTTATCAATCGTTGTATACGAAACTCGGGGAAGGTCCGCGGTTGGAAAAGGAAGAAAAGGAAAAAGCGAAAAGGTATGAAAGTATTTGGATTGGCGCGTGATGCATCGATATCCGTATTTCGCTGAATATTATCCCTGAATTGGCCACGATAACCAACAAAGCGTCGCTGTTTACCGGCAGGCGTTTTATTTCCCTCGATTTCAGCACAACTCGCAAAAGTGGTCCGCTTTGAGGGAAAAGTACCACCGCGGGAAAAGTTAACTTCGCCAACTGTTAAACCGCGTAAATCGATAGCGTGCTTTTTTTAAATTCCGATGAACGGAGATGATGCACGCGCGTCGTTAGAAATCAGACCGCGGCTGGTACGCCGATATTCAGGTGAAAAGAGCGCGAGCTCGCAGGCATCTATCAAGATCTAGCGATTTTTATACTCGGCGTGCCGGCTGAATTCGAACGGGAATTTCGATCCTCGAACCGCGAGAAAGCGACCGCGTGAAATTCCTTCGTTCCTAAAGGCCGCGTTTTCCACGCGGAATAACCACGCGGAACAACCACGCGGAACAGCCACGCGTAAAGACTGTTTACGCGAACGACTCGAGCGCTCGGAGAAAAGCAATTGGCAGCAATCGGGAGGAGAAGCACGCGAAAACTATCAAAGTTAAACCCGAGAACCTGTTCCTTTATTCTATCGCTACTTTTTACCATATCGCGAATGTTCTCTAGCCGTGGTATCGCGTATTCGCGCCGAAAAATCTAAAACGCCTCGATGGCGCCTTTCTCTTTCTCCTTCTCTGTCACTCGCATTCACGGTCAACGTTTCGGCGCTGACGAGTAGCACGAGTCGTTGAATCTCGTTAAAATCGCTGCGACCAATCGCGAGTGCGAAACGCCAAACGGCGCTGTCTCGTCGAGAAAATAGCGATTTTTTATCACACGCGGAATAATTTCGAGATGGCACGGTTGATCTCTCCTTATCAGTCGTGTCTCGAAACTTTCTACGCGATACTTTCCACGTTTCCGCAAATTTTAATCGAGAATTCCCTTCAAGTCTTGCTCGTGGCCTACTGAATTAAATTCGTCACGAATACCGGGGAGTATACTAGATTCCCCTTAATGCGAATTTCTATAAAATTGTTTTCCGATTTTGTTTAATGAATTACAACGAATTTTTTCAATTATTCCTTTCCGCGAATTCGCGAATTTTTCTTCCAATTTGAATGAAATACGAAACTTCTATTCAAGTATATTAGAGTATATACACGTGTCCCATTTGAGTTCACGAAAAATTCCTTTTCGACAGCTGTTGCATAGGAAACAGTCTGATTTATACCGATTTTAACTATACAAAAGAATTATTTAGAAAACTGTCGTAAATGATGAAATGTACGAAGCAAAACAAAAAGACAAGACGATGGTGATCTGCAACGTTACGTTATATCGTCCATAACGCGAATTCTGCATTGAAATCTAACGCACGCGGATGTATAATGAAAAATAGCGCAGGACTATTTATATTCGCGAATGAGCATAAGCTTATTATCAAATTCCAATGCACGTGCAAAATACACTGACAAGGGGCACGAAAGTGCGCCCTCTGCCGTCTGTGTCAGCATTTTTGTCACGGAATAGATAAGCACAAAGCGCGGCAACTTTCACGATAGAGCTAGACGAAAGAAACCGACTACGAAACGTATAAAAATTCCTAGCCTTTTTATCGCGTTGAACGAAGATGTTCGTACGAGAAGGTCGCAACGAGCGCGCATGACCGTTACGTAAGATTAACGCGGGAACGCGAAAAGGGCGCGTTATATCGCGATGTAACGCGACGAAGGGTAAATTTCGCCCACGTGGAATATTTCGAAAGGCGAAAATAATAGAAAGAGAAAGTAACGGAGACGCAAAGAGAATTGGAAATGTAGTATGATAGATAGCATGGCAGAAGGAATAAAAGCGGATAAATAGGGAATAAATAAATAAACTCACCTTCCACCCAGCGCTGCTGTTGCTTTCTCCCTTCTCCCTGAAGTAGGGGATGTTCTGCATCATCCATTCGTAGATCTGAGAGAGAGTCAATCGCTCGTCCGGGGCGCTGGTAATGGCTTGAGTAATGAGATCGGCATAACTGTGATTTCCCCAGGCGTTTCGTCGGGACGAATTCTTCTTGACCGGAAGCAGGCCGGTACCTTGGCCGAGAGAGCCATGCTGAGGCGGCGTGCCACTTTCGACGCCTTCGACGCCCTCTTTGCTAGCCGATACGCTCGGTACCACGTTCCCCTCGATGTATTCCTCCGGTCTTGGCAGCGGCCACGTGTGCGACCGTGCTCTCGTCTGAGGCTCGAACCCGCTCTCAAGGTCGTATGGTACCCCCTGCTGTGGTTGCAACCCGGTCTTCGACCCCGACGCAGAAACCGGCACCGAGTCCATCATGTTCGTTTCCTCCGTGTAATCCACTTTGACCGCGAGCACCTCGCGTGGTGCTGTGTTCTCTCGAAAATATCGCGCTGCCTAGCGAGAAACCGCGAAATGTCGCCCGTTACAGTCGGTATCGCGCTGCGATCGAGACTCTCGATATCGTCGACACTCTCACTTTACCTATGGTAAACGGCACTACGTCGTTATCGACGATTCGAAACCAGAACCGAGGGTCACTTTAATGATCCTTTTTCTTTCCTTTCTCTCTCTTTTCTCTTTCCCATTTGTCACTGGATTCTTTCCCGGAGCACGTTCGTTTCAACGAATAGAACGCGACGAGCGATATCTCGCGCGCGATATCGAGTACGATATCGCTTAGAGAAAAGGAGAGGACGAAGACGGCGAAGGAAAAGCCGAGTATCGCGGATCACTCGAATCGAACTCTCCCGCAGCTGGCAGCGGACCGACCGAGAATACGCTACGCTGTAGGTTGTTCTGCGTGTCGCGAGCGAGCGAGAAAGAACGAGAGAAAGAGGACGAGTGCGAGGGAGAAAGACGGCAGCGAGAGAGGGGGCAGACCACGTGGTCAAACTCACTGTTTACAAGCCGCGCCGTCGGTCACGTGGCCATGTTTTGATAAAGAACTTGGCCCACTGCGAGGAGAGAATCTTCGACTTTGTTGCCTCGCGATCCCTGCGTGTCGCGCTTTTGCAAAAACCTTCCGCGTCTCGGGACGAAGGGTCGCGTCGCGTTGTTTTTCGTACGCGACCTTGCTCGCGGTCCGTTGGCAAAATTTCCACGATCCAAACGGCGACTGTCGATGGATTTTCTGCTTCGAGAAGATCGTTCTTCTTCCTACTTTTCATCGATGATCCACGACCTTCCTCTTCCACTGCTTCTGTCCGGGATGAACGCGACGCTGCTACACGCTCGAAGCGTTTTTCTTCGATGTCGAGTAGATCGAGACGATCCGAAGGAGACAGTATAGTTGCTCCGCCGGTGGCAGATGCGTTTCTCGTGTTTTCGTAGCACGAACGATCTCGTTCGAACAACTTTGCTTTCGCGTCGATAACGCGATCGATGTCCCAAGTGCACGCTGCGGATACTCGTTGAACGTATCTTCGGTATCAGACACGCGCACTCGTGATTACTACGGAAATCGAATCACCTTCCTTTTCTGTACAACTTGCCGGCAAGGCAGCGCGGCGAATACTGACGAATTCTTCTGGCCGGCAGCCGGAACTGACCGAGCGGAGCCGAAGTTGCGAGAAGTGAATTCGTGGCGCCTGCCTCCGCGCATTCGAGAGGGACGAGGATAAGACGACGAGCGTGGGAACGAGTGGGAGAAAGAAAGCTCGCGGAGAAACGAGCGAGACGAACCGACGAGCCGTCGCGAGGCGAGAGAGAGACAGCGCTAGGGAGATCGCGAGCATAGCGAACGAGCGATCTGGTGGGTGGTTCGGCGACGTGGAAGGGGAAACGGGAAAGGTGGGGGCGAAGCGACGGAGTTGGAGCAAAGGAGAAAGGCGCGACAAGCGAGCGAGGTAGGTAGCAAAGAGGTTAGCGGAACGAGAGAGGGAGAAAGAGGCAATGGTCCGGAATGAGCTGGATAAAGAGAAGAGGGAGTGAGACATGCCGTCGAAGGGAGGGAATCAGAGAGGGCAGCGTGGTCGGTTAGATCGACGAGATGGGCGGGGAAAGGGGTACGATATGCCCCCAGGGCCAGATACTGTTCTCCATACAGCTGCGAGGAGAGGGAATTCGCACGCGGCCACCTACCCCTGCTGATGGGCGTTCAATTCTCTTCTCTCTTTTACAAGTTTTCGAATAATTTCACCGTGTATAATGACGGACTCGCCTCAAATATTATTCCAGTTTTCCAGCAAAAAGTCGCACAAACTTGTTAATCCACGCGAATTCGATTTCGCGAATTTTACTATTTTCAATCGTCAAAATCCACGAAAACATGTTGCAATATTTCTAGTTCGCCTTACGATTATAGATCGTCCTATAAATCTTCCTGCTATACAGTCTCGGAGTTATCTTTTGCATAAACATCCTGAGCTCGAATACAGAGGTCTGATTATTAATTAAAAACGCGATTTAATGGAATTTAACGCGCTGCGCGAATGATTCGTCCCGCGAAAGATATTTTCTATTTACTCAATAAACAATCACATTCCGACGTTATTTTCTTCGTAAAATTTTCCGTTTATCGAGAGAACTTTCCTCGAAAAATCGTAGATTATCGTATAACATCGCGGCAGTTTCGAGGTCCAAAATCACAGGAACGATTATTAATCGATTCAATTTTAACAGCTTCCTCGAAAACCGCGAAATTGACATTTTTCCAGGAAAAGTGTCGTTATCTCCTCCTTCGTATCTCCTCTATTTTTTTTCTCCATAATTTTCACCGTCTTGAACGAGCTATTTATAGCTTTAATGCTCTTATTGATTTTTTTGTAATTTCTAGGCCTGGAAACTTTTTTCCTTCGGAAGACTATTTTAATGCTTGGTAGCCTTTAAGACTCCGCGTGCCCTCGGTTCTCGTGGAATTTTCAGAAACCCCAAAGCTTTCTCGCGCGGTCCCATTTTACTCGGAACAACCGCCAAAGTGCCATTCGAATCTTCTTTTGTTCAACGATTCTGCGAGTCCACGGCTAATTAGCAGTTGCATGATCAGCGATGCTCCTTTCCTCGTACACGTTGATACGCCAACTTCTATCCTTCGCCCGATTTCACGTATACCCTTTGCGAACTTTCAGCGTCCTACGCTCGACCTTTCGTGGTCTCGCAGATTTGAACCTCGCAGGCGAGAAACAAAGGTGGAGCAGAGAGTTATCGGAAGCTTCCGTCGACCTCGCGCAATAATTCGACGCAGAGTGCACGAAACGAGAAAGGTTAACGAAATGCATAAATTGGGAATTGTTGATTGGCATGTATTTATATTAGAAACACGATGCACGAAATTTACTCTCTTCCG